GGGGGGGCAGAGAGAGAGAGAGAGATAGAGAGAGAGAGAGAGTAGCCAAAGCTGAGACTAGCCAAGTGTGAGGGTAAATTCTTTGTTTTAATAAATTTTATTTTATTTTATCCCTCTCCCCCTCAATCCCCCTCCCCTCCCTATGTACAAAAGCTTTGTTTCCATTTTTTCATTCTATTTCACTTTTTTTTTCTTGTCCCTTCCTTCCTTTCTCCCTCTTGAGGGTAAGTTCTTTAGAACCCAGCAAGAGAGGCTCTGGGGCCTTAGCAGCAGAAGGATTTGGAAAAGATGATTCTGTCTTACAAAGAGAAAGTGAAAAGCAAAGTAAGAATTAGAAATGTATCAGGAAAACCATTGTACAAGTCTGATTTTTGTGTGATGTCAAATCAACCGAAATGAAGGAGGATATCGCACACATGTATCACAACTTGTCTTCACGTCCGGAAATCCCACTGTTTCTAGAAGAGGAAATAAAAAGCTGCTTTGGACTCTATGCAGCCTGAGCAACTATGGATCTCAGCCCCTAATCCTTGCCCTTCCTTAACGCCAGTGCCTTCTCCATCTTTGAGAGCTGGAGCCGACTTTCTATACTGTAACAGCACAGACGTCTATGCCCTTCCAACCAAAGGTGCCCTACGCCAAATTCCTGGCTTGTGATTGTGCTCTAAGATCTCTATCTCTGGTTATGCTGAAGCTGAGCACAACAGGATGAGGCTTGAAGAGCCCACCTTGCCCTGGCATCTTATTTTCCCTCACTCTCATATTGTGCTTGGTGATTTGCTTTTGCCCATTCCTGGCTGTCCAACTATCCTCACCTCTCTCCCTATTTGCTTTGGCTTTGGACCACACAGAAGCTCCCATTACTTCCACATCCATTCTCTCTTTCTTGGACTTTGATTTTAGTCACCCAATTAGAAGGGAGCCCAGACTTTCTTGGGCAAAGGCCACTGCCTCTCCAACCTCTTTTGAGTTTGTCCTCCTTTAGCTTTAATATTTTCTGTTGGTCAAACCTGCCTATTTCTCCTTCCTATACTATTATTTGTGCTTCTTCAAGAGTCACCGTGTGCTGAGAGAGGATGATCATTAATCTCAGGCAGGTGACCTGCCTCACACAGCTGCTAAAGCCAGTAGAAGTTGCATGGAATCCATTCCCCTGTTATCACACCTTCCATTCTACAGACTGGTCTGTTTTGGACTGGGTTTAAAGTGCTGCCAAAAGTTAAGGCCTAACCCTTGACATTCAGGATGCCAGAGGGAGGGTGAGGGGATGGCCAGTGGTAAGAGGGAGTCTTCTGGATGTGCCTGGAGGAGGGATGGAGAATTGGAGCCATGAGGTACAGGGCTATTGAAGGCTGTGCAAAAAGTAGCTTTTATATCTGCATAGAGGCAAGTGATAGTCCTACTTTTATTTCCAGTAACAGAATTGAACAGAGAGAAGGTTCAGAGATAACCTGCGGGGATGAGAAGTGGGTTAAAGCACAACCAGGAAAGCCAGACAGTCTAGACCTATCTTCCCAGGTAGGCAAACTGGGGAGCCCAATTCTCACAAGGGAGTAGACCGGAGTAGGGGGTTTACTGGGGACATTCTTGGGGAAGGAGCCAGGACTACAAGATAAAAGTCCTCTAGCTCCTGCCTGATAGGACCCTGAGGGGAAGGAGACCCCCCTTCCTCATGCTGTCTCTACCTAAAGCCCTTAATAAATCAGGAGAGGGAAGTCTTCCCAGCACTATAGGTAACACATGGTGTCTATCATACTCATGCAGCAGGAATGGGGGTAGGGTGGAGTTGCAGCCACCGTTGACATGAGAAGTCACAGCTGCAGCAGACAGCGAGAGCCAGTTACGGGAGGAGCTTGACATAATTTGCAGGGAAGAGTCCAAAGTGACCACGACAACGTCCCCGCCACCAGCCCTCATCCACCATCTCAATGTCAGTGATGATGTCATCTGGATCAAAGGAAAGCTCATCACTTCCCTCTGGGGAGGAAGCAGAGAGAACATTAAGCTGGTTAGCTGGGAACCCCTCCATGTCTCCCGATACCCACTCTAAGCCTTGGGGAAGGAAACGGGCCTGGCCTTCCTCTTCATGCCTAGCCAGGCCCTTCCCTAATCAGAGGAATCAGTCCTCTCTCTTGGATCAGATCCTCCAGACACCAGGCTCCTTGGGCCCCTCCTAACTTACCTCCTTGGTAATCATACAGGGCTACAGCCGAGGTCCCCACAGGCCCAGCCTGGCTGCCTGATGAGCCTGCATGGTGAGAAATACAAACATGGTCTCGCCAATGTGGAGAAGGCAAACAGACAGATCCTACTGGGCAGTGTGGGAAATTCTTTCTCTTCTTCTGTTCTCTTAGATGGGACCAAATCCAGATGCTTCTCTCCCATCATCACCACCACCACTCACCAGCCTGGGTGGAGGGAAAAGAACCCTCAGGCTCCAGCACATCTTCGTAGTCCCCTTCTGCCTCATCATCACGCCTGTCTACCTCCTCAACATCCTCATAGTCATTGTCAGGCTCAGGCTCAGGTGCTGCTTCATACACTGGTTCTTCCTCCACTTGGAAGCCTTCTGGAGTCCTAGGGGGCAGAGCTGGGGGCTCCTCATTGTCCTGAGAAGAGACAGGGTAGAGCGGGTGGCTTCCACTCAACAGGAGTATTCAGTGGCACCACTAAGACCCTAAGACCTTTGCAGCCCTACCAACTATGCCCTCCCCCAACAGTCTCTCCTCAGGAACACAGTCCATTGCCCCATCTGCATTTGCAGCCTCCCCCACACCCAGGCCCTCAAGACACCTGCCTGACGCTGAAGAGGGAAGAATGTAAAAGTGTGAGGGGAATGGAAGGCAAGTCAGAGTCCTTGGAAGACCAGGAAAACAAGAAAGCTAAAGCACTTTGGGAAACAGAGCTGAGAGAACCAGAGGTCCTAATTTGTCCAGGATGGGGCAGAGTTTTCTAGAATGCAAAACTTTCAGAGCTAAGACCCTAACAGTCCCAGGTGAACCAGGTTGGTTGGTCATCTACACCTAAAACAGAGTGGGGTGGGGGGCAGAGAAGGCCTGGCTATTGCTTACCTCCAGGGGACCCTGCCTTGTGGGCAGAGAGGGTACTGGTTCCCTGCTGGCTCTGGCGGGCTCAGGCTCTGGTGGTGCCTGACTCTGTGCTGGAGGCCAGGCCTGTGGAGAATGAAGCATCTGTCCAGCAACCACCATCTTCACTCTCACTTTTACCAGGAAAGCCCTTTTGTTCTCTGCCAATCCAGACGGAACTCATCCCTCAAGATTGGCTCCAACCTGAAGCGACAGCTCCTTCCTCAGTTCCTGCAACCTCAGTTCCCTCAGTTCCCTGCTGGTGACCTATCTTCTGTTGTACTATACAAAGCCTGTTGTTTGTTTGTTTGTTTGCTTGTTTTTCTGACCGTCTGGTACATGAGGCCAATTATACATTCAGATTTAATCTTCCTGCTTAACATAGGAGAGGCCTCTGCCTTATTTTCTGCCCTTTTTGTGGGAGGGGGCAGCACCTTGCTATGTGGTTTAGGCTGGCTTTGAATTCACTGCATAGCCCAGGTTGGCCTTGAACTCAAGGTGATGCTCCTGCCTCAGCCTCCCGAGTGCTGGGATTACAGGTGTGCACAGCCACCCCTCTGCCCATCATTCGAGCCCCTTAGATCTGGCCGCTGATGCTGGAGGCCAGGTGCTGACCTCTGAGGAGATCTTCTTGGGCAGTGGGGCTGGCACCACTTGCTCTTCCATGGGTGCTGCTGGCTGCTGAGCTTCAAAGTGTGTCTTCACCACGGCCTTGCGTTCCTGCTGCCGCCTGGCCACGTGCTGTGCCTTCTCCTCTTCTTCACACTTCCTCTTCTCCTCAGCCATGGACTCAAATTTTGCCTTCAGCCCACGGGCACCACTGGAAGCTGCAGACATAAACAAGAAGAATTAGGGTCATCATAGAGCAGAAATGAGGACAGGAGTTGTGTTTGAAGGAGGAAGAATCAGCTGATATTCAGGAAGACAGCAAATGTGGAGGGAACTCCTGGAGGGGGGGAGAAGAGGTGGTGATGGAGAAGCATTGGGGATTATAGGAGGATGGTTTGGCCCTGAAACTCATGTTTCCATTTGGCCAGTCTGTGTGACCTCAGATTCGTGTCCCTCCTAAATCATAACAAGCCTTGGTGCCCCTACCAGCACCCCTTCTGCGCATTTTCCTTCTATCTACGTGCCTTCTGGCCATCACCATCTGTTGACACTCTCCCAGCTCCTGGCCCTATCCACCCTTCCCGAGTAGTTCCTATGCCCTGCTCTCTCTCTGTGTTTTGCCCTCACTTGGTTCCCTGACACTACTTCCTCTCTCCGTCACTGACCTTACTTTTCTGGGAGATGGAATCTGGGCGCCAGGAGTGTGGAGATCAAGGCATTCTCAGCTGATCTAAGCAGTTAAAGGTATGAGGAAGATAAGTCTCAGGAGAAAGGGTAAGAAGCAGGGAGAGGAGGCTGAGGATCATAGAAAGAGCAAATCATTGAGACCCACCAGCTTCAATGGGTGTTGTCTTCTTATAAGCTGTGGTTGGGGCCTCCATCTCACTGAAGCCAACAGCGCTCTGCAGATAAGAGAATGGTATGTGTGGTGTGGGGAAGGAACAGGAGTGGGCATGACCCAGAAGGCAGTACTGGGTGTTGGGGCCACTGTAGGAGACATTCCTTAACTATTTGGTACTCAACAGTAGCACAAGGCTCTCCAATTTTGCTCTGCAGCAGAGAAAGATAAAGATATTCTCACCTGGTGGGCTCCACCCTCCTTTCTAGAAACTCAGTGTACTTAGAATCTTATATCCCAGCTGCCTGGAATGTAGCAGGACCCCTAACTAATGCAGAAGAAGCACTTAATGTACAAGAGAAAAATTGTGTGGGGTAGAAAGAGACTAAAGACTGGGTCAAGCAATGCCAAGCAACCCATGAAACTTTACATCTAACATCACCTTTCCCTAGGGTTTATCTCTCCTCTCTGTCTCTTCTCGCTACTCTATACTCTCCTCAGTTAAAGCTCAGGCTTTGGAATTCAGAGGCATTACATGGTGAAAGCGGTCAATGGGAGAGTAAGGCCCCAGAACAGGCTCAGGGGACCTAGCACACTGTCCCATCCTCCCTCAGCATTGCCTCTCACTGTTCTCTGTGCACGTCCCTCAACGTAGGGAACATTTCTCAAGACACGTATGTCCTGATGCTTTACCTTATCCACTCGGTCCTTCTGGAGTCCATACTGGCCACCAAAGCCTTTGGCATAATCTGCAAGAAAGAAAATTCTGAGAGTCAAAAGGAGATTAAAATGCTGGGAATAGGTGGGGAGAGAGAGCAGAGGGAAAGGATGAGAAGATAGGAATGTGGAGGATAGAGACGTATGGGAGGGAGATATGGGAGGAAGAGATATGGGAGAATCAGAAGACAGAGGCAGGGACGGAAAGAGGAGAAAAGGATGAGGAGGGGAAAAGTTAAGGAAGAATGGAGGAGAGAGATGGCAGGAGGGAAACACAAAGGAGACAAGTGATAGACAAGAGAAATGAAAAAAAAGAAATGGGAGGGGGACAGCCCACCAGCCTGCTCCTCCGTGTTGCTCTGTGTGAAGTAGAGCCTGGGAGACTCCTAGCCAAGTCAGACCCCTATCTCAGAAGCCCCTTCTCTTTAACCTCCTTCCTCTGCTGCTCTCAATCCTGCCGTTGTCCTCCCCATCCACCCCCATCCGTCCCTCTGTCCCACTCTGCTTCCAGTCAGCTTCCAGGCAGGAAGGAAGGAGGGCCATGGGCCCTCCCCGTAGCCTCCCTCCTCCCAACCGGACTCACCTTTCTGGGACTCGTGCTTCTCCGTCTCTCCCTTGTAGTCGTATCCCAAGGCTGCCTTGTCCCTTTTATCCTTCTCCACTCCATAACGGCCACCAAAGCCCCGAGAGTAATCTACAGTTAAAGAGGCAGTCACGAGAGCCCACCCTCGGTCCACACAAATGTGCTGAGAAGAGAGAAGTCTGGAGGCAGAGCGATAGGGGCCAAGGAGAGCAGGCCTCAGATTCAGGCCTGGCTAAATTTTACACAGCTCCTTCTGTTCCCCTCCTCTCTCACTTTCAACACCCGCTCCCTACCTTTTT